TTTTTCGAGACAGGATTTCTCTGTGTAGCTTTGCCCTTTCCTGGAACTCACTTGGTAGCCCAGGCTGGCCTCGAACTCACAGAGATCCACCTGCCTCTGCTTCCTGAGTGCTGGGATTAAAGGCGTGCACCACCACCGCCCGGCTTGAATACACTTTTATAGGATGCAATCACTGGGAAATGGGAAAAGGCACGAGAGCATCTTTTTGTATCATTTCTTCTGTATATGACAGGGAAGCTGCATCCATGGAACCTCAAGGATATGGTCCTCTAAACTAGACCTGGGCAATGACAGCATCAGTAGACATGGCCCCGTGAATGGGAGATCTCATAGGCCCTCCCCCTAGATAAGAACTAGGGGTAATTGACAGCTTCAGAGGAGGGACAATCAGTCTTCTCCAGGGAGAAGTTTACTCAATGCCAAGGGGTCTGCCCTAAATATTTGTATATATAAGCAACAACGGAGGCCTTGGACTCATCAGGCTGCACTTATATACAAATACATATATACATATATGGAATAATAATTAAGGAAGAAAAGGTCATGAACTTAGGAAGAAACAAGGGACATGGAAGGAACTAGGGGAGAGTGGTAGAAACGATGTAAATACTCATGCATGAAATTCTCAAAAAATTAAACTTAAGAGAAGGTATGTGAATCTATGGTTATCTTAAAAAGAAAACTTTTCAGAGATGCCAAGGTCTTCTTTCAACAAGATGGTATTTAAATCACATTTCAGTGGGCTGCACAGGAACAGTTCTAACTCTTGGCTCTTTCAACCCCACCTCACACAACTGTGGAAATTGCATCCCTCTCTGGTCATAATGCTACAAAGGCCACCTCTGATCTTAACTCTCAGCTCTGTGCAAAGGCAGAGCAGGAGTTCATTTTTAATGAAACCGCACAGTGCAGCCTCTGGCACACAAGTGGACATTTCACAAATCTTTGATACATGTTCACCGTTGCTATGATTTTCACACTATTCACCATTGCTGTGACTCTCACACCAGGTGTCACAGCGGCTTCTCAAAGAGAAGTGAGATCTGTAACAACATGGCCTAGGAATTCAGCATCAGTCCAATGGGTGACTGACGGGACACATGGCTCCCTTTAAGTTCCGGACAGTCACTCACACCCTGCTAGTCCTCTTTGTTCCCAAGTTCCACCTGGAAAGAGTGTGCACTGGAGTATGCCAAACACACAGGAAAAAATACCACGAGAATTTGGAATTAAACCAAACAGAAGGAAAATGAGATGGCAGGAAATGAATTATCTGATAACATCAAAAAAACAAAACCATAAACAAATTTGTAAATACAATCTAACTTTTTCTTCAAAATGTATCTCATTTTACAAAGAACCATCTCATAGGAAAGAATCCCATATGACACAGACTTCTATAAAAAGGCTGTCGTTCTCCCCCCCCCCTTTCTTACCAAACCAAAATCATGAAATAAAAACACATGACTGCAAAGTCCAAGCAATGAGCCATGTGTGGGGTGCACATGTGAATACGTTGAGTGGATATGTGTTTGGTTGCATGTGTGTGGGTGATTGCATGGGTGCAAGGGTATGAATACACCTGTGGGTGCATGTGTGAGGGTGGATGTGGGAATGCATGCATGGGTGCATGCACTGGTGTATGTTTGGAAGTGCATGTGTAGGTGCATGGGGCTATTGGACAGTGACTAATTTTTGGGATCCCTAAGTGTCCTGCCTTCATTTAGGCCCATGAAGACAGACAAACCACTTATGAACACCGCCTTCACAGAGTGCAGAGGAAGCTGGCGCCATTTTAGCCTACCTCCTTCCTTCTTCACACTGTAACATCATCTTGATGTTCCCAAACTGAAATTTACAAGTTGATGCTTTCTGTTGAGGGTTCCCATGGAGGAACGTACAAATAAGTATGACAAGATTATAATCCTCCCCACAATACCAAGCATAGCTTTTCCTTCGTCTTCTAGTTCAAACCGGAGCGTCTGGAGCTCCTGCTCCATCTCCATGCGGAAGCCCTCCATGGACTCTCGGTGGGCATCTTTCAGGGACTGCAGCTCTGCAGAATGTTTCTGCTGTAAGTGACTCTCCAGAGCCTAGACAGGAGAAGCAAATCAAATTATTTTGCTAGAATATAGGCAACAAGACAGAAAACAGCTCGGGAGCCTGGTGTTTAAGGAGACTCAGCTGCCTTAGTTCCCCCTCATGAAAATCAGATATAAAGTAACTGTAACTGGAAAACAAATTCATTGGGTCCGATCAGTAGAAAACTAATTATGAAACCAGTTTGGCTCAATGTGTTTTGTTGAATTTGGAAATACAGACCTTTAACTTCAGGCGGTTTTCAAATGAAATCGTTTTCTAAAGTTACCAAGGATACAAACTACTGAAAACTAAGGAAAAAAATCCTGTGTATCCAGAAAGGCGAGGAGAAGGGAGGTGTCATTAAGAAACCAACACAAAACAAAAACAAAAACAAAAAAGGAAGAAAACAACACCAAGCCCATTCCTCATTAGGTTTGCCTACTCACACTGAGGGTGTTTAGGAAATGTCACTCTAATTAAATCTTTCACAGCTATTTTCTATAAAATATTTGTGTGAAGAAGCAATTCTCAGAGAGTAAGTAGCCAGAAGTGCTTCTTGTTTATTCCTCTACACTAATGTGTTGATCACCTGCTCCCCGGCTCATGGTACTTTTTTGGAACCTTTAGGAAGCGGGACTACCTGGAAGCAGAAAGTCACCACCAACAAGACTTTGAAAGATGCAGCTCAGGCCCGGTTCTGGCTTCCTCTCTGCTTCCTGGACTATGGTGATGTATGGAGCTCCCATCACTACCAGTTCCACTGTGCTTCCCCCAACTTGAAACTCTGTGCCAAAGTAAACGCTTTCTCCCTGAGTTTTCCTGTGCTGTGGAGCCCTTCCCTCTGGGTGTGGTATGGCCATGGTCTTGAAGTCAGAGCAGCTGTGCTGTCCTGCAGGAGACCCTCAGAGCTGAGTCTACAAGCAGAAGACCCTCAGAGCTGAGTCTATAAGCAGAAGACCCTCAGAGCTGAGTCTACAAGCAGAAGACCCTC